GAATTTCTGAGTCATAATTTAGTTCCATTTTAAGTTCTTTGAGAATGTTTCATACTGTTTTCCATAGTGGCTGCACCAATAATCATTTCCACCAACAGAAGATGCTGTTGTTAATCTATCTTCTTATACAGCAGAGCTAATATGTATTTTTATATAGCAAAGGCAATAGCTATAAGTGGATGTAATAGGGAAGAGCAAGGCAATTTCATCAAATTATGATTTTTCTGAAGCTTACATTTAGAATTTTTTTCTGAGCCATCTAAACAGAAGCCATTCTAAAACAAATCACTGTAATTTTCTGTAAGAAAGTATGATAAGCTGAGGCTGGAAAATATTTTTATTAGTTATATAAATTCACTGCCCTACAAATGTTTGCATTTTATTTGAGTGTCATACTTCCACATAGATGGACTGGGATGAAAAATTAAAAGCACAATTACAGTTTCTCCAAATTGTTTCATAGGTCAACCCTTACTAAAATTGATCAGTTGAGCTTTTCTGTTCAGCAAAATTAGGGAGTAATGTAATATGCATGCTATCAATGCAAGTTTTGAGGTTTGAAAAAAGAAAGTGTATTTATAAAAAATATCTCTAAGCCAAAAGCGATGTCACATTTACTGGAGAAGAAATTTTGTTGCAGGGCAGCGGATGTCATCAGTTGCACATCCCGTTGAAGCCTGTGTTTCTATTAAATATGACAATCGGATAAGCACATGCATTTGCTTAAGTGCTTCATAGTTTGTTGTTTTTCTATAAAAAGTCACTTATTTTTCCTTTGCATTTTTAAATTTTTATTTTATTTTTTTAGTCCTCACTGAAAGGCATTGTTTTCACTGATTTTAGAGAGAAAGGAAGGGAGAAAGAGAAACATCAATGCAAGAGAGAAGCATCGATTGGTTGCCTCCTGCATGCACCCTGACCTGGGATTAAACCTGCACAACTGTACTTGAACAATAAAAAAATGTGAAATAAAATAAAATAAACCTGCAGCCTAGGTACGCTCCTCAACTAGGAATCAAACCCGCAATCTTTTAGCTGTGGGGCAATGCTCTAACCAACTGAGCCACACTGGCAATGGCTGCATTTATGTTTTGACCATGTAAGGAATTTACATTGTATTAAAAAATGAGAGTTTTTTATTTTTTATTTTTTTATATTTTTGTATATTTATTTTATTTTTTGTTTTTTTATAATTAATTTTATTTAGTTATTTTTTAAGTACAGTTTTTTGTCTATTTTTCCCATCCCAGTCTCCCCCGCCCCTTGCTCCCCACCTCCCTCCCATTTCCACCCCCCTTAGTTCTCGTCCCTGTGTCCTTCCTATTTGTTCCTCCAAATCCCTCCCCCTTTTTCCCCTTAACTTCCCTTCCTTCTCCCCTCTGATCACTATCCCCTTGTTCTCTATTTCAGTGTCTTTGTTTTTTTTTCTGCTTGCTTGTTTGTTTTGTTGTTTAGCTTCCTGTTAAAGGTAAGATCATATGGTATTTGTCTTTCAGCACCTGGCTTATTTCACTCAGCATAATGCTTTCTAGTTCCATCCATGTTGTTGCAAAAGGTAGTAGCTCCTTCTTTCTCTCTGCAGCATAGAATTCCATTGTGTATATGTACCACAATTTTTGGATCCATTCATTTACTGATGGGCACCTAGGTTGCTTCCAACTCTTGGCTATTGTAAATTGTGCTGCTATGAACATTGTGGTGCATAGGTTCTTTGATATTGATGTTTTAGGATTCTTAGGATATAATCCCAGCAGTGGAATTGCTGGGTCAAAAGGCGGGTCGATTTTTATTTTTCTGAGAAAATTCCATACTGTTTTCCATAATGGTTGTACCAGTCTGCACTCCCACCAACAGTGAACTAAGGACCCCTTTTCCCCACACCCTCTCCAACATCTGTTGTTTGTTGCTTTGTTTATGATAGCCATCCTGACCGGTGTAAAGTGGTATCTCATTGTGGTTTTAATTTGCATCTCTCTGATAGCTAATGATATTGAGCATCTCTTCATGTGTCTCTGGATATTCTGTATGTCCTCCTTGGAGAAATGTCTGTTCAAGTCCTTTTCCCATTTTTTAATTGGGTTGGGTGTCTTCTTAGAGTGGAGTCGTGTAAGTTCTTTGTATAAAGCTCTCTCTACAAAAAAGAGAGCTTTTTTAAAAGTAGAAATACAAGTTACCCAGTTAGAAGTATGAATACTTGACATAGATAATTATTTTGTGATTAATGTTTTTTTATACTTTACTTAAAAAAGCCAGCTTTTTGAATTATATATTTTTCAAAGTCCAGAAACACTTGTACAGATGTATAAAATTTAAATAAACTTTGAAATATACATGTTCAGTAACATTTTTAGAAGCAATATAGAGCTTCTAAAAGAAGAGGTAATAGGATTTTGTAAAAAATATAGGGTGGAGACCAAGGGAAAGGCAATTGGAAATTTTCAAATAAACTCGGTTTTCTATATGTCAACTTTTATTTTAATTCTATCACAGTTTATCTTAATGGAATCACAATACTTAGTTTGAGTTAAAACTAGCATTTCTTGATCATATTTTACCCTCTTCTGTTATTGTAGCTGATATTCTTAATCTCAAGTTTAATAAATAAATTATCTTTATTTGTTGAATGTGTTCATGTATGACACAGAGGAAAAAAGTTTACTAGTCAGTTTAGTTCATTAGCTCCAGTACCATGCACCAAGTGTAGCTGTAGACTCAGCTGGTTTTATATTATCGATCTGTATCCATTGTTTTACCTAAAGGATAAGGGTAGGTATGTTTAACGTATTTTGTATCTCTCTTGGCATGTCAGTATTTAATGAGTGTTGAAAATGATGCTGAACTGCTTGAATTTTAATACAGTTTCACCTTGTTTTCAACACATTTCAATTTTGGACATATAAGCAAGCAGTTGGCAAAAATAAAGTCTAAAACGAAGGTCAGCTTGTTCAGTGTTTTAATTTTTGATGGACTGCACATTCTAAACTGAAAATTATCTCCTGAGTATAAATTACAGAGTTGCATGAGGGATCAATAAACTAGTAATTAGATTTGGGTCTCAGGTGAATACAGAAGATTTTCTTGCTCTGTGTTCGTGATGAGTTATGATTTTATATTTTAACTTTGTTACAAAACTGATGCTATAAGAAATGTTTCAGGAATTAGAACTTGCATGCATTTCAATCCTCTAGCTACATAATTCTTTTAAAAATCATTAACTGGTAATTTTATACTTTTATTATATTTTACCCATTACCATTTATTCTCCCCATACCTTCTTCCACCTGCACACGCCCCTTCCCCTCATAATCACCGTACTGTAGTCCCTGTCCATGAGTTCGTCCATTCTTTTCCTTTTTCTGCTTGATCCCTCCAACCACACGACTCACAACGCCCCCACCCTTAGAGCTGTCAGCCTGCTCTCCATCTATGAGTCTGTCTCTGTTTCCTCATTAGTTCAGTTTGTTCATTAGTTTCCACATCTGAGTGAAATCATATGGTGCTTGTCTTTCACTGACAGGCTTATTTCACTTAGCATAATGTTCTCCAGGTCCATCCCTGCTGTCACAAAGGGTAAAATTTTCTTCTAGTTTTAAATATATTATTGACTCTGTATGAGGTAAATTCAAACTCATGAGTTTTATTCAGTGTTATGAATAGTGTGTTGTTATATTTATATATATAGTATTTGGTTTGGTGTTTGATCTTCAGAGAGATATATATTTTATAGAGCTTTAGCCTCATGGTATGTTTCTCACATCAGAAAAAAAGGCAGAATATATGGCAAATGAATCTGGAAATCAAAACAAGACTTATTTTTTCTTGGAGATCTATAATATGCATTTATATACTGAAAATCTGTGAAGTCCCACAGAAAAGAGACAATTTTATCTCTCTGGTTTATGCATATTCTAAAGTCTTAACCATAGAATGCTTTTGCCTGTGTAACATTTATTACAACTTGAAGCACTAGTAATTTGGGGATGGAGATACTTTAAGAAGCATTAATTCAATCTGTTTTCCAAGTAAATTTCTTAAAATATTTTTGCGTATTGTGTTTTTTAAATAAAACTTTAGAATGTCCATATTCATAAGAAGCACAAAATAATGTGTTTTTTTACAGGTGCAATGTTACTGCTGAAGACCTTACATAGTTCTAGCCTCAAAGACTCAAAGAAGGAATTTTGAATTTCTGGACCATCATTTTATTCATTCTTTCCATTCCATTTTTCTTTTATAACACAATTCATGTCCATAATTTATGTTTATGACACATTTCAGCAACTGTGATGATTAGTGGAAATGTCCATTTATATTTATTCGAAGGGCCAACACATTCATTCAACACTTTGGTCGAAATTGAGACTATTGGTGCATTAGATAATCTGATAGTTTCTTTTGCTGTCTATATCTACAGTTACTTTTGATCCCTTCTCTAAATCTCATGAAGAAATTTCTGCCAGTATTGTGCAGATATACTGTTCTTCAACAATAGTGTCAACACCTGGTACATATACACATATATATGATATATGTATATAAATGTTATATATATGAACATACACATATATATGTTTTAAAGTCATTGTTTCAGCAAAGTATTAACAAGTCACTTAAATTTTTCTTGAATTATGGTCTTTCTCATTTCATGGTTTAGGGGTGTGTGTGTGCACATGTGTGTATTTGGTATGCATATGCGTGTATATATAAAATGTATACATATAACTTATTTGCATTATGAATTTTTAATTTTTTTCTTGACAAATTATTCTGAGACTTACACTGAGATATTTTACCTCAGTGCAAAAATGTGCTTTTCTAATATCACTGATATAGTGTTTTAATATGTTCTTAGAAAATATTGGCTAATTTTATGGATCTTTGTGAATATATTGTGAAAGGGTGTTTTATTATTTAAAATATGGGTAAAATATAATCAGTGTTTCATCCTGTATATTTTGTTTTTATTCAAATCAATAAAGCATTTTTTTTATTTTTTATAGAGTAATGAAGTTGTCTACTACAATGCAAAGGATGATCTTGATGTGAGTATTAAAATTTTTATATTAAATTCCAAGGTGAACTTAGTTATACTGAGATGGTTGGTTCTATATCTAGCAGATTTAGTATTTCAGAAAATGTATGATAATATAAGAAAATACCAGCGAGACACAGCAAGGTAAGGATGAATTTTAGTGCTTATGTGATCTTTAACAACTTTTGGCAACTTCCTAAGCAGAAATGCCACATTTCTCTTGATGTGAACACACACTGTATCCTGTCCAGACCTCAGTCCACTGCACTGACTTGAATTCTCTGCATGCCGTTGGCATTGCTGACAGAGATTGGATCCCATCGGTCTCTGTATCCTGACTCCTGTCACCACGGTTACTAGACATGTCTACTCTGGCCTAAACTGCATAAACCACGGAAACCCATTATTTCAACTACCATATGAATGACATTCTGGAAGCTGAAACTGGCCTGCCTATTCAATCTTTGAAGCATATTAGGTTCTTAATATGCCTTTTAAAATGAATGTCTTTAATGTACATATTTAAAGGACTTTAGAACATAAATTATTATAGCACAAATGAATTACTTCTAATATTGCTAAGCTTGGACAGATTATGGAGACATTTTTATTACTTAGCTGTGATGGGAAAAATTTACAAAATCATAAAACAGTTTACACACTAGTTTTAAATTTTCATGTATTTGATTTTTGTCATGAGAAAAAATATTTAAATACACTTATCTTTTTTATCCCAAGTATTTGCTGAAGGCCTCTTGTATTTTAGGTATTCTTCTAAGAGTTTGAAGTATATTAGTAAAACAATTAAAGAAATATACTCTGATTATTGTTTATTCTCGTAGCTTTTATCTGAATAAAAAATGTGTATAATTATAATAATATATATTAATTAATATAAGTAAACCTATTGAACTTGTCTTGTTTTTGGCCTTCTTCCACACAAAAAGTCTCTAATATTACCATAGGTTTTAATTATACCTATAAAAAGGCTATATTCCCTTCTTTAGGCCGTGGTATGAGCTTACAGCATATAAAACCAAAATCCTATAAAAAGCAAAAAATTCATCTTTTAAATTTAAGACTTAAAAATTATTGTCATCATTTAGAGAAATTATTTTCACTCCTTTATATATAAATAAAAGTTTCAGAATAATTGGCAAAAATATTACATAGTGGAAAGAACATGAAAAAAAGGATCGGAGACTGATTCATGCCACTGTCCAGCCCTAGAATCGTAGTTGCCCACAGGACACGAAAACCTATTTAGATTCAAACTGTTTTTCTGCCTCTCAGACATACTACAGTTGATTAGGTAATCCATACATTTCATTCCAGTCTGCATATTATTGGAATCCTGCTAGAATAATCAAGATTGCTGGAATTAGGCTGTTTCATATAAAATTTTTGAGAATTTGTAAAGAACTATAAGTTTATTTCATACTTTTATGTTAAAGTTCAAAGTGCTTTAGATGTGGTAATACTAATGATCTTGTAAAACCCTAGACACTCAATACAAATGAACCATGTTTTATGATGAGCATATTGGTTTGGTTGTTAAGGAGAAACCTCAAGTGAAGTGGTGAAAACAAAACAAAAGCTCGTTTTTGTTGCATTTATTGTTCTGTGTACAAGGTCTAATATGGCAACCCTCAGTCATCCAAGGTCCAGTGTGCTTCTTTCATGTTTTCTGCTCTCCTCAATATAGCCTTTTCATTTTGTGGTCCAAGAGAGGTGCATCAGTATCCACAATGATTTTTGCATTCTAGATAACAGGAAGCAAATGGCAGTGGGGGGCATGTCTTTTGCCTTTAAAGGCACATTCTGGAAATTGCACACATTGCCTCTATCTGCGCCACGGTCCACAGCTCGGTGACGTGCCTTGTCTAGTTGCAGTAGGATATGGAATATAATCCACCCCCACTGGACAGTCATGCATATAACAAAAATATAGGGTCTATTACTAAAGACAGAACAGGGAAAATACTAATTAGGAGATCATTAGTTTGTACAAATATCTTCAAATTGTTCTTTTTAAAAATTTAATCTTTATTGTATTTTTTTCTCAAATTACTCTTCTGGACATATTAAAGTTAATGCACAAACTCTACTCAATCTGAGTGCCTCTGTTGTTTAAATAGAGTATAATTCTTCCACTTGGAACTGAGGAAAATTGTCTGTTATAGTAAAGTGATTATAAAATTATGTGTTGTATTGAGTATTTTTCATCTTAGTGTATGTTTTGATCAGTACAATTAAGTTGTGTTCTGCAATAGAAATATTTACTGTCTGACAATGAAAGTCACTATATGTAAGTAAATGTGGCACCTTGATACTCTACTTTAGGATTTTCAGTTGTTATACTTTTTTTGAAGACTTGCTTATTTGAAGTTGGACTTCAGTAGATGATGAAATTTACTCACTGGCACCAAAAGTTTTGCAATATAGGCGGATTTAATTGGCTGCCATACTCAGAGCTTTATATATGTTACGCTTGAAATTGTATATACTAAATGCTCACAAATTATAATGCCATCTTATTGTTCTGATTTGAATCAGCTTACCATCACTGTTCTTTGTGATGATTTTTCTATATACCACTTTAGATGTATAATTTTCTCAAATTCCACAAAGCCATATCTATTATAAAAATTGGTGATTGGAGATTATATAATGTACTTTTATCATCTCATACATCAACATATAATATCTAATGAGCAAAATAACTAATTGGAATACTAAATATTGAAGCAGCACTATTAATTAACAAATTTTTTCTTATATGTTTGGATGGTGATAAAGTATCTGAAATCTAAATGAAGTTTCTACTTTAAGTATTATGACTCCCTAAGGGAACTAAAAGATTATAAATCTCTAGCCCATGGTTGTCACTCATAATTTTCCCCCAGTTCTGCAGTAGTAGGAGCAGATCTGTTTGTCCATAACCATTTCTGGTGGAATCATGATGTTTTCTGTATTTCCTGTCTCTGGTACATCAATCATTTCCTTTCCATCCCCATGACCATCTTACAAGTTTAGGCATATTCTCAAATGTTTATTTAAGAGCTATTTTAATGTTCTGTTATGCTTCTGCAGTTTTATATAGATTTAATAATATACATGTTAGTATATAAATATTTCTAAATGTTTTATTCATAGTTCCTTTTTCATCATCAGTATCTTCAAATCAGTTATTAAAACTGCCTTTATTCATCCTATTCCCTTTATTTGGTATTTAACACCCTGAAGAAACTTTAGCAGTATTTTTTTTCTAAGTCAATACAACTTTTGCAATGAAATGGCAGTTTCTTCTCTTCGGAGACACAGCCAGTCTTTATAATTATCCCCTTGGGTCCTTCCCTTGAGTATACATTCCTGGAGGGCAGTTCTTGTGTATTCACAGACCCTGGCATAGCTTTTATAACAACTAGTCATTGTAAACACTTGATAAAGTTTCCTTATAGGTGAGATCATGTGGTATTTGTCTTTGGCCACTTGGCTTATTTCACTTAGCATAATGCTCTAATGTTGGCTACACCTGAATTAGTCAGTTTGTGGGGAGCTATCAGGCTGTAAACTTTTCAAGGAGTTGGATATAAGACAATTTCTCAGGGGCAGTTCATAACGTTTCTGCTACTCAACTGAAATCAATGCTACTTATATTCACCTTGTGTGTATAAAAATAAATGGTGACAGCCAAATTTAGTTAAAGTAGTGGCTGAAGTAAGGGGTAGAGTTAATGTGCCTTGGTATTGTATAATATAATACAAAATTATGATAATAGTCTTTTAGATCAGCTTTCCCCTTGACACTGAAAATAATGCATGCATAGCTGGGCTAAACTGGTGAGCCACAATTTTCATAGGAGGTTATAAGGCAAAAACCATTACTAGGAATTTAAGGTGATGATTCCTATGTCCAGTGTGCTAGGTATTGTTAAAATGGTCTCTGTTCTGATTACCTGATCATGGTATCCTACAATTTCTATTCCAGTGTTAAGTATTTAAAAACCAATTCAAACCCCACCTCTTCATGAAGCCTTCCTTGGTTTTCCTAGGTAGGAAATGGCATTTCCTTATTTTGGGTGTTCTAAACAACTTTTTATGCATTTCTGGCTATAATGGCATATAATACCTTACATTATAGCATTTGCTACAGGGATAATCTTCTCTATTAAGTTTTTAGCAACTTGAGGTATGGATCTTACTTTCTTTAATTGTTTAGAGTCATCGCTGGGAATCGTGCTTGTTAAATCAGGTAGGCGTTTGTGTTTCAGTACCTGCATCACTCACACAGCATCTGTGAAGATCTGTTCACCTGTCAAAGTGTTTACTATTTGCATAGTAAAACAGGAAATCCCTTGTAACCATGGTGGAAATGGAAATGTTGATTTTGTTTCAAGACTGGGTGGAAACAAAGTGAAGAGAGGAATAACAAACCTGGTTTTGATGGTGGGCCGTATTTTAATTAATTTTTAATATACGCTTTTTTGTTCATGTACCAAGGCAGGCTGCAGAAGGCGACAGAGGCGAAGGACATTGTTTCCTCCTGTCTCACCTGCCCCTTCGTCTCAGTGACCATCATGGTCATGAGGACTGAGTAATGTCAAAACAGACAATGTGGCTTCCCATTCATCTAAAACCGATTCAAATTGGGAATATGGAGCAGAGTTAGAATATTTATTTGAAATTGCTGCAGTGGATATAAGGTCAGGATTTCTGGTTTTCAGTCTGGACGGATCTGAAAAGCTAAGCTATTATGAATCTCCATGAAGCATGAATCAGGCTTATTGCATTATTCCATCAAACTAAAGGTCTTTTGATTCAACATATAGTTAGGGTAAATAATAGTTGTTGAATTTGAATTCCAGTCAGGCTACAACATTAAAACGGATATAATGTTTTAATGTAAGATATTTTTTTACTTTTTATTGGGAAAATATTTTACGTATATGATAGAGAAAAGAGTATAATGAGTTTCTATAATTGTTTCACCAACTTGCTTAAATATTTC